CTAGAATGGGAAAAACGCTGGCCTCGCAGGTCCCTTCCAGACAGGCCCTATATCCCAGGATCTGATCATAGAAAAGGAGCCCCCGGTGGCGCAGTGGGTTAAACCCCTGTGCCGGCAGGACTGAAGACCAACAGGTCGCAGGTTCGAATTCGGGGAGAGGCGGATGAGCTCCCTCTACGAGCTCCAGCTCCTCATGCGGGGACATGAGAGAAGCCTCCCACAAGGATGGTAAAACATCAAATCATCTGGGTGTCCCCTGGACAACGTCCTTGTAGACAGCCAATTCTCTCACACCAGAAGTGACTTGCAGTTTCTCAAGTCTCTCCTGACACGAAAAAAAAAATCATAGAATCCTAGAGTTGGAAGAGACCTCATGGGCCATCCAGTCCAACCCCATTCTGCCAAGAAGCAGGAAAATTGCATTCAAAGCACCCCCGACAGATGGCCATCCCGCCTCTGCTTAAAAGCTTCCAAAGAAAAAGCCTCCACCACACTCTGGGGCAGAGAGTTCCACTGCTGAACGGCTCTCACAGTCAGGAAGTTCTTCCTGATATAATTTTTTAAATTCTTGATCAGTAAAGAATCATAGAATCATAGAGTTAGAAGAGACCTCATGGGCCATCCAGTCCAACCCCATTCTGCCAAGAAGCAGGAATATTGCATTCAAAGCACCCCCGACAGATGGCCATCCAGCCTCTGCTTAAAAGCTTCCAAAGAAGGAGCCTCCATCACACTCCGGGGCAGAGAGTTCCACTGCTGAACGGCACTCAGAGTCAGGAAGTTCTTCCTAATGTTCAGATGGAATCTCTTTTCTTGTAGTTTGAAGACATTGTTCCATGTCCTAGTCTCCAGGGCAGCAGAAAACAAGCTTGCTCCCTCCTCCCTATGACTTCCTCTCACATATTTTATACATGGCCCTCATCATGTCTCCTCTCAGCCTTCTCTTCTTCAGGCTAAACATGTCCAGCTCTTTAAGCTGCTCCTCATAGGGCTTGTTCTCCAGAACTTTGATCATTTCAGTCGCCCTCCTCTGGACACATTCCAGCTTGTCAATCTCTCTCTTCAATTGTGGTGCCCAGAATTGGACACAATATTCCAGGTGTGGTCTAACCAAGGCAGAATAGAGGGGTAGCATTACTTCCCTGGATCTAGACACTAGACTCCTATTGATGCAGGCCAAAATCCCATTGGCTTTTTTCCCGCCGCATCACATTGTTGGGTCATGTTTAAGTTGTTGTCCACGAGGACCCCAAGATCTTTTTCATATGTACTGCTCTCAAGCATATGGATTATATGAGTCCTCACTGCCAGATAATCTGGGATAAACAGAAAACCTGGGATCAGATCCTGGCATATAGGGCCTGTCTGGAAGAGCTGGGATCAGATCCTGACATATAGGACCTGTGTGGAAGAGCTCTCAGGCCCTCTGGACTACAGTGCCCACAATCCCTTATTTTGGGGGCTTCTGGGAGTTGAAATTCCACCTATCTGGAGGGATTGAAGGTGGATGAACCCTGGGCCGGCTGTCAGAAGAGCAGAACTTGGATATCCTGAAGGCAGCTGTATTGAGTGATAGATATGGCTGTCTCAAGGAAGATCTCTCTTGCATGAATGACTGCCCTATAGGGAAACTCCTTGAATGAGAGCCACGCAATAGATCTTCCCAACAGACTGTAGCCCATGTTCAGGGAGACATTATGAGGAGCCGTGTCTCAGCAAAACTGCCACTTGAAAAACAGCAGGCTGAAGGGCTTACCTGATGGTTATAATAAAGCTTAGGAACTGTAGTGCACTTAGCAGAATTCAAAGCACTTCAGAACACATGGACTCAGCGATTCTTACAACCATCGTGCAAATATTAGCCAGTATTATCATCATCAAAGAAGGGGGAGGGATGCTATAGGAAATGGTTTACAAGTGAGCTTGGGAATGTCTTGTGGATTCCACTCCCAGAATCCCCCACCACCTCACTGGGAGTTGTAGTCCAAAAATATCTTTTCCCAATTTCTGGCTCTAAGGCAGTGTTTCTTAACCTTCCTAATGCCACAACCCCTTAATACAGTTCTTCATGTTGTGGTGACCCCCAACCATAACATTATTTTAGTTGCTACTTCAGAACTGTCATTTTGCTATTGTTCTGAATAGTAATACAAATATCTGATATGCAGGATGTATTTTAATTCACTGGACCAAATTTGTACCCAAATGCACCCAAATTTGAATACTGGTGGGCTTGGGGGGAGGGAATTGATGTTGGGATTTGAGAGTTGTAGTTGCTGGGATTTATAGTTCGCCTCCAATCAGTGAGCATTCTGATCCTCACCAATAAAAATATGCCTAACAAATGCTATACCTCACATTATATCATACCATGAACTCTTATTGACTTGACATTAAGACCGCAATACAGGAATGAAAAGCAAATTAAATTGATTTTGTCACTTGGGAGTTGTAGTTGCTGGGATTTATAGTCCACCTACAATCAAAGAGCATTCTGAACTCCACCAACGATGGAATTCAACCAAAAGTCGAGGCGATTCCAGAGAAGTTAACAGGGTGTAAGCAAAGTTGTACTGACAAAGGGTTGACTTCAATCAGATCGTTAAATATGTTTTTCTAGCATGAAAGCATTATGTTGACCTTGAACTTCCCGTTTGTTAGCAAGCTGAGCACTTCGGCATATCCTTAATTGCAAACGGTCCTCCCTAACCAAATCCCCATCACCTTCAAGGCCGAATAACTCATTATCTTGGGACTGGCCAGCCTGGGAATCGACAGGCACTGAGCTCACAGATGGAGCGGTCAACTCCTCCATCTGCAGCTGTGAATTTTCACTCAAATCATGACCATCTTCCAAAAACAACATTCTTTTCTCTGGGAAACAGAAACGCCGTCTCATCTTCAGTATCAACGCTGTCTGCATCAACAACAGGGACATGTTCAGAAATCTATAACCCATCATCCTCCTCGTCCTGAGGAAACTCAGGCTCAGAAAGCTCAGGCTCAGACTGAGCCACAACACTTACTAGGAGCTATTACATGTGCTGAACCCTATCCTCAAAACAGGATCAGCACCTGAATGCTCCGTTACAGTTCTGACTAAAACCCAGAATGGATTCACTGCCGTCAAATGATATAGGAGGCCCCACCTGCAGCTGCTTGCAGAATGTATCCCATGTGATAATGCTTTCCACTCCAGGCCCCATTAGTTCTCTTCTAAAGCTTTAGCCCATCTCCTGCCACAAGGCACCGTTCCATATTGTTTTAAACCAGAATTGACCACTCAGCAATGAAGCAATCAGCAGGAGCTTCAAAAGAAATCTCACACTCCTGGGCAATCGTGTCATGGACAATTTCATGGAGACAGACACTCTTTACAAATATAGCATCAAAAGCAGGATGTACAGCCAGCCTTCTGTAGCCATGGATTCTGCGTCCATACTCCACTATTGAGAGCTTGAAAATATATTTTAAAATCCCAAGAAGCAAACCTTGATTTTGCCATTTTATATAAAGTTACCATTTTACTATGCTCCTGTATATAATGGGACTTGAGCATCCACCAATTTTGGTCTCCTCCAGAGTCCTGGAACAAAGCCACAGCGGATACCAAAGGGCCACACTGTGTTGTGTTTTCGTAAGTAAGAATGAATTGCATCATCCTGCAATTGAAGGGCTAAATTCACAAAAATATTTCTGTCTTTCAAGTCTCTTTCTCATCAATTCTCAGAGAAGCAGCCTACTATAAAGCCATTATCAGGCAATGGGAGTGATGAGCTCCACCAACTGGCTGCCAATTTCACATAAGAGTTGCACCCACCTTGGCCCTAAACCAAATCCAAAAATAATGAAGGATCCATCACAAAAATCATCTGTATCTCAGATCTTGAGCAGCTACATGAGACAACAACAAAGGTGAAAAGTGACACCAATGTGATACCTACAAAGATGAGCGAGATGGATTATTGGTGGTCATCCCACCCCATTCCCCGCATTCCCAATGTTCAGGCTCCAGGGTGAGAAAGGCGGGATATAAATATGGTAAATCTATATAAATAAAAATGTAATGTTCATTTGTGGGATTAACAGAACTCAAAAACCACTGGACAAATTGCCACCAAATTTGGCCACAAGACGCCTACTAACCCAAGGAGTGACCATCACAAAAATTGATTTTGTCATTTGGGAGTTATAGTTCCTGGGATTTATAATTAACCTACAATCAAAGAACATTCTGAACTCCACCAATGATGGAATTGAATCAAACTTGGCACACAGAACTCTCATGACCAACATGGGCATTGATGGGCATTGACCATGATTTTGGGAGTTGTAGTTCACCTACATCCAGACTGCACAGTGGATTCAAACAATGATGGATCTGGACCAAACTTGGCACGAACAATCCATATGCCCAAACATAAACACAGATAGAGTTTGGTGGAAATAGACCTTGACATTTGGGAATTGTAGTTACTGGGATTTATAGTTCATCTACAATCAAAGAGCATTCTGAACCCCACCGACAACAGAATTGGGGCAAACTTCCCACACAGAACCCCCATGACCAACGGAAAATACTCAAGTCCATCCAGTCCACCTCCCTTCACCAGGGCAAGAAAATGTAATCAAAGCCCTCCATACAAAGAGCCATCCAGCCATAGATATAGATAGATAGATATGATTCACACACAGAGAGATATAGTATCCTAGATTTGAAAGGGACCCCTAAAGAAGGACAATGATATGTTGCATGTTCCAGAGTAGGCAAACCAGACACTCTCCACATCAACACTGACAAGGAAACAGCAAGAAATACTGTTTACCCTCAAGCATAAAGACATTACATATATCAGAAACCAACACTTTCTTTACCAGATCAACAGACTGGGCCACAGCAACGCGTGGCAGGGGACGGCTAGTTTCTTATATTTATTTATGCTCTGCTTTATATCTCCCAGAGGAGACTCAAAGTGGCTATGGCAAAAGCTGGCCCCTACCTTGTTGGAAGCCATCTCACTGACAGAGCGGTAGGTCTGAATGGTTTCCAGCTGGTCAAGGCACCAGTCCAGTTCTTCCAAAGTTTCTATGGCCATCTGCTGGTATGTTTCTTCTGCAAAAGTAGAAATAGAAGAAGTCAACACATTAGCTCCAACTGGCATTCTGAGCATCTGTAATGACCCAAGGCTCTTCAACCAAACCAGCTATGTTCCTCTGTCCTTGCCTTTTCCATACAGCATAGTAACTACCTTGCTAAAGGGGTACAAAGGTCAGGTTCCCCTGGAAGATGCATCTCACAAGCTGTCAAGGGGAATCAAGTGGGGTTTGTAAAGAGTGAAAGGTGCATGCACAATCTGGACAGAAGCCTCAAAACTCTCATCAACTTCAGTCCAGGAGTGCTAGCTGAGGGTTTCTGTGAGTTGTAGCCCAAAAAATGATGCTAAAGGCTCTTCAAAGCAAGCAAGTCACAGGGAACAGTGGAGTTCCAACAGAGGTATTACAGGAGACAGAGGGAAATGCCTTCAATCCCATTCATACTCAACCTTAGATTTAACTGGGAGAGATGAAGAAACAGATTCAAATGGGTAACACTATGTAACAATATTTTTAAAATTTTATGTTCCTGGTTTGAAAGTGCTATTTCCTATTTAATTGTGTGGTACTTACTTTGAAAGTAGTTTTTATATTCCTTTTTTTACTCATGTTCTATTCTGAAATGGTCAAATAAATAAATAAATAAATATCTGAAACACAACAAGATGAGTCCACAGCAGACACTCTGCTGGCTGTTGAATTGGATCACACGCCGGACACTTCCCAAGTGCCTAGGACTGTGTGATGTATCGGCGAATAATGTGTGCAGATCCCAGTAAGGTGGCCTTCTGCAGCTGGCAGATAGTAATTCTGTCAGAGCCTATTGTGTTTAAATGCAGGCCAAGGTCTTTAGGCACTGCACCCAGTGTGCCGATCACCACTGAGATCACCATGACTGGCTTGTGCCAGAGTCTGTGCAGTTCAATCTTTAAATCCTTATATCGTGTCAGCTTTTCCAGTTGTTTCTCTGCATGTCACCTGGGATTGTGACATCGACAATCCATACTTTGTTTTTTAACATGATTGTGGGGTTATTATTATTATTATTATTATTATTAGTTGTTGTTATTATATTCCAGTAACTACCACCACCACCACCACCACCACCACCACCACTACTACTACCACTACTAAAAAAGGTAAAGGTAGTCCCCTGACATTAAGTCCAGTCATGTCTGACTCTGGGGTGTGGTGCTCATCTCCATTTCTAAGCCGAAGAGCCGGCGTTGTCCGTAGACACCTCCAAGGTCATGTGGCCGGCATGACTGCATGGAGCACCTTATATGGCGCCGGAAGGTACCTATTGATCTACTCACATTTGCATGTTTTCGAACTGCTAGGTTGGCAGAAGCTAGGGCTGACAGCGGAAGCTCACGCTGCTCCCCAGAATCGAACCTGTGACCTTTCGATCAACAAGCTCAGCAGCTCAGTGCTTTAACCCACTGCGCCACCAGGGGTACTACTATTATTAGTTGTTATATTCCAGTAACTATTACTATTATTATTAGTTGTTATATTCCAGTAACTATTACTATTATTATTAGTTGTTATATTCCAGTAACGACTACTACTACTACTATTAGTTGTTATATTCCAGTAACTACTACTACTACTATTAGTTGTTATATTCCAGTAACTATTACTATTATTATTATTATTATTATTATTATTATTATTATTTGTTATATTCCACTAACTTCATTTTTGTGGCTGCCACAAATTACGTTGAATTGGTTGAGACTCGATGATATATTCATTGAAAATCTATACCAAAATCTGCTGCAGGTTGCCCCACAAAAACAAAGTTTTGGTAGTTTAATCAACTTTCCCATGTTTTTATGATAGAACCAATTAGGAAATGACATTTATAACCCAGGAACAAAAAACTGTGTTACATAGTGTAATAGAAGTAGTAGTCAAATGCAGGAAAAGGTGTAACAAGTAAAAGATGTGGGTAAAGTGCAAGGGTAGAAATCGTGTGACCCTCCAGATCAGTGGTTCTCAACCTGGGGTCCCCAGATGTTTTTGGCCTTCAACTCCCAGAAATCCTAACAGCTGATAAACTGGCTAGGATTTCTGGGAGTTGTAGGCCAAAAACATCTGGGGACCCCAGGTTGAGAACCACTGCTCCAGATGATGCTGGACAGCAACTCCCAGCAACCACACCTAAGGTAACTAATGGTTAAGAATGTAGTGAGTTGCATCCAACCGTATCTGGAAGGTAACATGATTCCCAAACCTCCTTCATCAGATGTATTAGACTACAACTCCTTGAGTCTCTAGGCAGGACAAGTTAACTTTGGAAAAGCTGGAATGCTACTCTTCCTTTTTTCTCCAAACCAATGAAAGTCCTCCCTAAGATTGTATGACGTTTCCAAATGTTGATGCAAAATATCTTGGAAAAATTTAATGCAAAATGCCCATGCATCAGCCATGGAAAACCATCCGGTGACTTTAGGCATGATACACTCTCAGTCCAGAGGGAGGTGAAGTCAAATCCTCTCTGAAGAAAAAACTTCCCAGGAACATGCTCCTCCCCCAATAAATTCAACTTAAGGTAACTGAACATACATAACAACAAAGACATTCAGCAAATTGAATACAAGATCAACTGCAATGTTAGATTTCCTTTGAACCTGAGATCTATTCCAAGGCCTGTAAGGTTGACTATTCTCCATTCCACCCCACACTTCTACTCCCCCGGGCCTGTCCAGTTTCCCAAACACCAAATTTCTATTACCTGAGAGCGTGGCTTTACAAACAGTTGGCTGGCTACCCATGGGTGACCGCCTAAGTGGGCAGAAAAGAGGGAAAAAATACAAGATCAGAAAATTTGGCACCTCCTTTGGAACATATGTCATGAAAGGTCTGTGGTCAAATGCCCATCCCACCCAAGTTGCTTTGAATGACTCACCACACGGAAGGTTTCCAGGTATCAACTGCCCTTTAGTGACCTACCAGAGCCCCTACTCACCTTAAACCCTAACCCTTCCCATCAGGTGTAATTGAGTGTAAGCAAGGAAGGGACAAGGGCGATGTATTTATGAGGGAGCAGTGGCTTCTCCCTGCTTTAGATAATTAGTAATCAAGTGACAACAATAATTGATATGTCATTAAAAAATAGGGCATCCCCACTAAAGACAGGAGAAAAAAACCAGGGCTCATCCCATCTTTACTGTTTTAAAATATTTTTATAGACCACTAGCTGTCCCTGCCTTGCGTTGCTGTGGCCCAGTCTGTGGATATGTGTTTTGTGTGTATATATATTTGTGTATATGTGTATAGATATGTGTTTAAGTGCAGGCCAAGGTCTTTAGGCGCTGCACCCAGTGTGCCGATCACCACTGGGACCACCTTGACTGGTTTGTGCCAGAGTCTTTGCAGTTCGATTTTTAAATCCTCATATCGTGTCAGATTTTCCAGTTGTTTCTCTTCAATCCTTATTATTATTATTATTATTATTATTATTATTATTATATCTAAATCCAAACCCTCCCGACCAAACAAACTGCAGCCTTCCAGATGTTCCTGTATCCAACTCCCATCAGCTCTAGTCCTTATGTCTAAGGATGAGGAATACAGGAATTGTAGCCCAGCATCTGGAGGACCACATAAAATGATATGGGACTTGGGTTTGACACATGTGATTTACAGACTTCACTCCTCTTTTGCCTAACTACAAAGGATGGGGAGTAAAGAGCTTAAACAGAATCTAGCAAAAGATTTAGGAAAACTTCTGGGGATTCCTCAGTGGCTGCTGTTGGGCAAGAGGATTCTGTTTGGGAACCATAGTATAAAAAAGTAATATTCCTCAAGTTTGGTGTCTCATGCAACCTGTGAGACCTTAAAAAATGGAATGAGAGCATCCCATTTCTCTTCCTTCCCGGTTTTAAAAATCCAACTACCTTGAAGACACAGTAGAATAACAACTATTCCTATTACTGGTGAAGAACAGGCAACAGAAATTCTCCAAAGAGTCACATTTATATATGTTTTGAAACAGGCCAACACACTTACTTATTAGATGTTGGCGTAGGCACATTTGCCAGGATGGAGAAATTATTACGTACGCTCCTCAGGCTGGCCAGGACCTGCAGGAAGTGAATGGACATGAAGCATTAGGGCAACAGAAAAGCTCTTGGCAACCGTAAGAAAATCTTAAGGATAACAAAATCCATACAAAAATAAGGTCAATCTCTACCACAATATGAACCAGAGGCCATAAAATAAAAGTTGGACATCTGGACTGCAGAATAAGCCCTTTGAATTACAGAAAGGTCCAGAGAGAGAAATGAGTATTAGTCATTTCTTTCCCAGTCTCCCCGTGAAGAAAGACTGTGACAAAAATTTCTGCAATAAAGTAAACGTTTCTTTAAAAAACAATCTGCATCAAAAAGCAAGAAGCAGAAATGAAAACATGTGCTTGATCATTTTCGTCTTTAGATGGACTATAGGGACACATACTCCAGAATAATATCCTAGCACACATCCTGGCTCAAAAGTTGAAAAATATTCCCTTTTAGGTTATTTACTTCCATGATCCCATAGCCATCATGGGCAGCAGTTTGCTCAGAAATTTCTCTTTATTTTTGTAAGAGTGGTAAGAATATCATACAAGCGGCTGGAGCATATAACATACTATAGGTTTGCTGTAAACCACAATTATTCACACATTGATTAATATGTTCTTTCTAGGAGTTTCTAGCTTCAGACAGAAGTTGACCACCTTCATTCTCATAGTTAGTTTCGAAGGTGCTAAAAGATTTACAGACTAATATGGCTATTCCTTTAAATTCGACCTCTAAGCTACAAAGTGGGAAAGGCTTTCACCAGAGCTGTTTTATTGTTGTGGCTCAGTCTGAGCCTGAGTTTTCTGAGCTTGAGTTTCCTCAGGACGAGGAGGATGATGGGTTACAGATTTCTGAACATGTCCCTGTTGTTGAGGCAGACAGTGTTGATAATGAAGACGAGCCGGTGTTGCAGTTTCCCAGAGAAAGGAATGTTATTTTAGAAGATGGGCATGATTTGGATGAAACTTCACAGCTGCAGGTGGAGGAGTCGACCGCTCCTTTTGTGAGCTCAGTGCCTGTCGATTCCCAGGCTGGCCAGTCCCAGGATAGAGTTATTTGGCCTTGAAGGTGATGGGGATTTGGTTAGGGAGGACCGTTTGCAATTAAGGGTATGCCAAAGTGCTCGGCTTGCTAACAAACGGGAAGTTCGAGGTCAACGTAATGCTTTCATGCTAGGAAAGCATATTTAATGATCTGATTGAAGTCAACCCTTTGTCAGTGCAACTTTGCTTACACCCTGTTAACTTCTCTGGAAATGCCTCGGCTTTTGGGGAAAGCTTTCGGCTCTTTGGGATTTTTGATTTTGATCCTGGTTTCTGGGGACTTTGTCATGCTGTCATGGATTCTTGTCTGACCAATGCTTGTGGATTATACTTCATGTTATTTGACTCTGGACCTTGGAAACTCTGCCTTTGAATTTAAGACTCTGTTTTGGCTTTTGAACTTTTGCAACCTTATTTCTATGTTTATGATTTTGCTTTTTCTTCAATAAACTACAAAACCTACAGCCTTGGTGTGTGGTGTTGTTCTGAGCAATGTGAATCTATCCTGAGTTGCGACATTTATATCTCCATATCTACACACACACACACATTCAGATTGAAGTATAGAAATACTAGCATTCAGATTGAAAAATGTCTCTCATGAAACCCTTACACACTTAGTAACTTAGAAGTACAAAGATATAGCCATTATAAATTGTCAGAAATATTAAAAATTAACTAGGTATTTTTAATTACAAAAATGTGAGTCAAGCACTGAAAGGGCCTCAGCAAAAGCTGCAGTTCAATATAAGCAGGTGTGTATGTAGCTTTGTAGCCTCAGTCTGTGAGAGGTCTCTGTGGGAGAAGGGCCTCAGTATGTTACTAGGCCTCAGTATGAGAAGGCATCAGTGTTAATTTGCCTCAGTATATAAGAGGCCTCTGTCTGAGAGAACACCTCAATGTGAGAAGAGGCCTCAGTGTTAGTAGGCCTCAGTGTTAGTAGGCCTCAGTGTGAGGTAGGCCTCAGTTTGAGAAGGTCTGGTGTGAGAAACTTTGGCGAGACGAAGACCCAGGTTGAAGGCCTCATGTGTAAAGCTACTGTGAGAAGGTCCTGTATAAGTTTGGTGTGAAAAGAGGCTATGTAAGAGCAAAGCTTTTATCTGCATGAGAAAGAAGCCCAGCATGGAAGCAAAGAAGGAAGTCTAAAGAATTTTATTTGTATTATGGAAAGCTTACTCTTGTAAATACTGTGTGAAGCTCCTGTATAAGTTTGGTGTGAGAAGAGGCTATGTAAGAGTGAAGCTTTTATCTGCATGAGAAAGAAGCCCAGTGTGGAAGCAAAGAAGGAAGTATAAAGAATTTTATTTGTATTATGGAAACCTTATTATTTCCATAGTACAACCATATTATTTTGCTATAAAGAAAATTCTCCTATGGAAGAGATAACATTCGTCTGTGTGTTTTTGTTCTTTTTATCACTTTGGGCTACTGGTACTGGGAGCCCCCAGTGGCGCAGTGGGTTAAACCCCTGTGCCAGCAGGACTGAAGACCGACAGGTCACAGGTTTGAATCCGGGGAGAGGTGGATGAGCTCCCTCTATCAGCTCCAGCTCCTCATGCGGGGACATGAGAGAAGCCTCCCACAAGGATGATAAAACATCAAATCATCCGGGCGTCCTCTGGGCAACGTCCTTGCAGATGGCCAATTCTCTCACACCAGAAGCGACTTGCTGTTTCTCAGGTCGCTCCTGACAGGACAAAACAAAACAAACCAAAACAAAACTGTGCTGCCAATAAGTTACTCTGCTATACATTCAGGGAGAGGGTATTTTGTTGATAAGTCCACTTGCCCAACATAAATACGATATTCAAAGATATAACCATGTATAATATATAAGTAAAAATAGGTAAGTTGAAGATGTATCATTGCTCATATTCCCTTCCCTGTTGCTTTGCTTCTTGCTTAATATCAAACTTGTATAAGAGTTGTTTAGAACTTTTCAGTTCTAAATCTCCTATACCATTAAAAATGATACCAAAGAGAGTATTGTGTATTGGGAACTCTCAGAAGATTTAATTGAGTTTTTACCTCATACATGAATACACAAAAATCTGGGACATACCTGGGCAAAAGGTGTCACTATCAGGTCTTCCGTATGTCTGTGAAGGACAATAATAATGACAGCATACATATTAAAGGGGGAAGGTAGCACATAAAGAACAACCAGGTTTTGCCTCCCTCTTTGTCCGCTTCTAAACCCCACTCTGCACATCTATCTACATGACTAGCAACCACATATGAAATGAAGATTTGAGCCCAAGAGTTTGTTTCGCTGAGCAGAGGAATCAATTGTTCCAGCTCTCAAACCATGTACAACTAATGAAGATAGATCGAGAAGCCTTCTAATGTGGTACCAATTTATACAAATGTTCTCTCAGCTTTTTACTACTGTTGGTAGTTGGTGATTTTCCTTTTGAATACATGTTTGCAGATTTTCTTCAAAATATCCAGAAACGCAGGAGCCTCTTACACAGAATCACAGAGTTGGAATAAACCTCATGGCCAATCCAGTCCACCCGTGCCAAGAAGCAGGAAAATCGCATGCAAAGCTCCACCGACAGATGGCCATCCTGCCTCTGTTTAAAAGCTTCCAAAGAAGGAACCTCCACCACACTCTGGTGCAGAGAGTTCCACTGCTGAACTGTTCTCACAGTTAGGAAGATCTTCCTAATATTCAGGTGGAATCTCCTTTCCTGTAGTTCGAAGCCATTGTTCTGCGACCTAGTCTCCAGGACACATGACCAAGGATGGGCAAAAATGTGATCCCTGCTGGACTGCAACTCCTATGTTTACCACTTTTAGGTTATGGTGGTGAGAACTAGTGAGTTGCAGTATGGGAAAACACCCAGAATTTGGGGGAAATTATATATTTTTGGATTATAACTTCTACAATTCACCAGGCAACATGGACAGTGATGACACTATGTAAGATGATTTTTGTTCCTAAGTAACAAATGTCATTTCCTAATTGGTTCTATCATAAAAACATGGAAAAAGTTTACTGAACTACAAAAACTGATGAGTCTTGTTAGACTACAAGCTGAACACCAATCGACAATGTGATTCAGCTGCTTAAAAAGCCAATGCGATTCTAGACTGCCTAAGAAGGAGCGTACTATCTACTCTAGATTGAGAGAAGTCATAGTCCCACGTTATTCTGCTTTGGTCAGCTCTCATTTGGAAGTACCGTGTCCACTTCTGGGCACTGCAATTCAAGAAGGCTATTTGCAAATTGGAATGTGTCCAAAAAGTGACCAAAATGGTAAAAGGTGTGGAATAAGGAGTGGCTGAGGGAGCTTGGACGGTTACCTTGGAGAAGACAAGGCTGCGAGGGGATTGTGCATAAATATTTGAAAGGTTGTCCCATTGAGGAGGGAATAAGCTTGTTTTCCACTGCTCTAAAAAGTAGGACATGGAACAACAGAGTCAAACTGCAGTAAAAGAGGTTCCACCTAAACATTAGGAAGAACTTCCCGATGATTGGAATCATTCGACAGTGGGATGTGTTGTCTCCTTCTCTGGAGGTTTTCAAACATAGACTGAATGGCCATCTGCTGAGAGTGCTTTGATTGTGTGTTCCTACATGACAGGGAGTTGGACTTGACAGCCCTTGCAGCTTCTCCCAATTCCATGATTATATAAACCTAAAACCTAGAGCAATTTGCCACCAGGGCCCAGCATTAGAGGACTGGAAATTGTGCAAGGGCATGACTACCATATGTTTGCCTAAATGGCCACATCTAATACAAAACTTAGGAAATTTATAAGGGATTTATTTGGACCACAAGTCTTGAAATGCCACAGCCAACATGCCCCTTTTTTCAAGTCCCAAATCTGCCTACTCAGATGAGAAGATGCCAACTTGCCTGTATTCCCACTACACAGACACTGCCATCCAGGGTATTGGGTTTCCCATTGGCACTACACCAAGCTCTTCTTTTTGTTCTAATAAATCTGCTTGCTTTAGCTATTCTGCTACCACCAAGGTAGACATGGCGGGGAGGGTTGCTCTCAAGGGTCATCTGTCAGAACCAACAATCGAAAGCCATACTGCAAAAACAGTCAGTTCTCAGGTTCTTGAGGATTTCACTTCTAAAACTTTCATTATTCATGGATTTGACTAATCCGTTCTGTCTAGAAATCTTTAGGTCCTCCAGCATAACTTTATGGTTGACTTCCACCACAGGATTGCACTGGAGCAGAGTTTCTCAAACTGTGCTCCTCCAAATGTTTTGGACTTCAGCTCCCAGAACTCCTAAAAGCTGGTAAGTTGGCTTCAATTTGAGAAAACTGCACTGGAGGACCTAGAGATTCCTAGATAGAACATTTCACCAGGCATTTGTAAGTGTGTGATTCTACGGCAAGTGTTCAACACAAGTTGGTCACAGAACTACAACAGAAGACTTAAGAGATCCCTAGGGAGGTGTTCTCTTAGGTAAAGAAATAACACTATGTAACATGATTTTTATAATGTCATTTCCTAATTGGTTCTATCGTAAAAACACGGAAAAAGTTTATTAAACTTGCGGGACATCCTGCAGCACATTTTGCTATAGCTTTTCAATGAGTATCTCATAGAGTCTCAACTAATTCAACATAGTGTGTGGCAGCCACAAAAACCAAGGTTCTGGAATGTAACAACTACTTTCAAAGTAAGGACTGCACAATTACTCAGGAAATAATACTTTTTCCACATTGTGTTACGAAGTAGTATGGTGGATGGAGTATTATAGCAGATGCAGTACAGAAAAGTAATACAGGTTGAATATCCCTTATCCAAAATACCACTTCAGAGCCAGAAGTGTTTAGTTCAGCTTTTTCAAGATTTTGGAATATCTGCTTACACTTAATGAAATGTCTTAGGAATGGGATCCAAGTCTAAACTTGAAATTCATTGATGCTTCATATACAGCATATATCCACAATATGCTTTAACTATTTTGTGCATCAAACAAGTATGTGTACTTTGAAACATCAGAAAGCAAAAGTGTCACTATATCAGCTACCCATGTGGGCAATTCAGATCTTGGGAGTATTTTGGGATTCCACATAAAAGAGACTCAACCTGAATTTCCAAATTCTGTATTAAGTTTCCCTATGTTGCAAAACAGATCAACTGTCAGATCTTTGGTAACTTTCTTCAGATGTTCAGGAAGGAACAAGGTCTCATTTACTAGAAATGCTAACTGTAAGCATGCTAGACATGAAATAGTTACTTTAGGTATTGCTTTTGCAAATTTCAAAATCTAAAACACTCTATAGATTAGAACTCAAACAATTACTCCCATGGATTACAGTTTCCAAACCCTTTGCCTTTTAAAAAACGTCAATATGGTAAGGTTTCAGAGAAGCTATCAGGCACTGTGTGAGTATATGTTTGTTATATGGGATATCTCTACTTTTATAATTTTGCTGGAGAATATTTGTTACTCTATGTTTTGTTTTAGATATAAGTCTAGAGTCACTGTGCATATCAACTCTTGAAGAAGGGGATTTTCCCCCCGAAACAGGGTACAAAAAATACCCGGGCACCCCTGTCAATGCGATTTGGATTTTGCCTACGAAGAAGTTTTTAAGAGCGGTGCTCCATTATAAAAGGGTTATTTTTTAAGTAAGGTCCATTTTGTTGTAGACACTAGTAGTTCGTGCGCATACCGCAACGAGCACGTGTGCGTCGTGTACCGGCATGCCTCGGGAACAACTGTGCTCAGTTTCCGCTCTGTAGCTAACCTGTACGGTTCTGTTCTGTGCTTTAAAAATGTTTAAGACTATCAACTCACCCGCCGCATGTGAGGTTCGCTCAGTGATACGGTTTTTGTCAGCAAGGAACCTGCCTGCTGCAGAAATTCATCGACAGATTTGTGAAGTGTACGGTGATACTGTTGTGAGTGAAAGCAAAATGCATAAGTGGGTACGACAATTCAAAGATGGCCGTGACAACGTCCATGATGAGGACCGCTCCGGTCGCCCTTTTTTGATTCTTTGATTATCGGAGCAGGCAGCAAGTTTTTATGAAGAGGGTATTTTAAAATTGGTTCAGAGGTATGATAAGTGTTTGAACAAACTTGGCAACTATGTCGAAAAATAGAGTGAAGTATGTACTTTCTGAAAATAAATGTACTTTTTTGAAATAAACTTTCATTGTGTACTTATGTTCAAACGGACCTTACTTAAAATATACCCCTTGTAACTGGACTTTACTTGGCTTTTGATGCTATTTGGACTTTCCTTTGGGCTTCATGGCTCATTGTCTGTTTACTTTGAAAGGTTTCTTCATTGAACACATATCCCTGAAGCCTATATATATTGGAATCGATCTTAGAACTGTTATGTTTGAGAGCGGTTGCTCCTTTTCACTTTGCTTTATGCCACTGTATTGAGCTGTATATTGGGAATTTTGATAAAATTATATACTGTATGCTCTTTGGATATCATACCTTCTCCTTACATAGATGGCTTTGTGTTTATTCTTCCAATCCTACTATAAAGCAGTGTTTGGCAGCCACCTTAGGCAGCAGCAGCCGCCCGCCCCTCATTGCCCCCCCCCCATGAGCCTCATTACGTAGCCTCATATACGTCCCCAATGATGAACTCAAGATTCAACAATCAATATGACCAATCTCTTAATGGAGTTGGGAGAAGGGGAGCCATTTTGTCTTTTGCCTCAGGTAGATGAATTATGTTTAGCCAGCTCCTGTCTGCCATTTAGGGAAAAGGATGATTTATTCATTGACCTCTTTGCACTGCATGTTAACCCACAATCCTCCTGGCTAAGATAACACACCTCATTGTGTCTGTCATGATACAACTGGCCTTCAGCTTAGCTATCAATCAAGACCAGAGCTTGGAAGAGTTGCCTTTTTTGGATGATAATCTCCATTCTGCCCAGTTGACAATGGGATTTTTAGTCCAATTGTAAGTTTCCCAAGCTCCACACAAATTATTCCCACCACTGATATAAAGAATTTGCCCACACTGCACCTCATACTTGCCCCAAAGGCAAGTGTCTCTGAAATGAGTTTTATAGAAAATCCTTGAAGGGTATCCCATTTATGTATATGTGGTGAGGGTGCGTGTGGGACACCCTGTTTAAGAAAAGAGGGAACTCACGCTTCGCTGGCCACAGAGGAGTTGCGAGACATCGTCTTTGGCGACATGTCATAGTCACTGTCCGAACGGTACAGGAAGGACTCGCGCCTCTGGCTCTGTGGGAAGCTGGGGTGAAGCACCAGGCCTGGGCTGGCCTGGGAATCCAGCGGGCTACGTCCTGGTGACGGGCCATTCTCAACCTCGAAACTGCACAAGAAGAAAGAATAAAAACAAAGGATATTTTATATAAGAGTCAAACAATTTTAAGTAGCACCCAAAAGGATGAGAATATGTAGTTCTCACTGAACGCACTTATTGCACTCCGAGGACTCAGCTGTACAAAAGGATTTCTACTTGTTTGCCCATTTTATCAGGCTGCCAACTCACAGAACACCAATAAGCATCTTTACTGACTATGTCATACATATGTTTGCAGGATAATATCTGAGATAACTTTGGATGATAAAGCCTTGAAAATGGGCCTAATTTTGCTGTGATTATTTTGACTGATCTGTGAATCATATGTAACAAGATTTCAAACATTTTCTGTTCCTGGCTTGAAAGTGTAATTTCCTGTTTAATTGCGCAGTATTTACTTTGCAAGTAGTTCTACTCCAGAAACTTCATTTTTGTGGCCACTGAAAAACTATAGCAAAATGTGCTGCAGGATGACCCGCAATAATATACTTATAAAGTTTAATATACTTTTCCCATGTTTTTATGATAGAGGTCATTAGGAAATGACATTTCTAGGCCAGGAACAAAAATTGTGTTACGGAAAAGCCAATGTCAAATTACGTTATGATTTTACAAATTTAGCACCAAAACATGTTTTACAACAGATCGAGAGAAAAAGCAGTTCAATACAAGGTAACGGTGGGGTGTAACATTGCACATAACTGAATACGTAATGCCACACCACATATGTAGTTTTCTGTTGCCACTTTAATACCTGGGACGTACTCTGTTTCTGTCCTGTTACAAGTGCCTTTCTTCTTGACTCAGTGAGGGGAAAAATAATTTCCTTTCTAAATCCCTTTACTGCCTTGTACTGCTGCAGTTTCCCTTTTAAATTGGCTGCGGCGTTCTTGTGAGCTGTTAAACCTTTGTGCTTTATATCACATGCTTGAGACACTCCGGTAAGCAACGAAGTAACAAAGTTTATTTATAGCTTCTGGTTCCAATGCTTTATGGTTACATTTGTGTTTTGTTACAGTCTCGAGTCTTACATTCAGTATCATTCACTCAGTTAACTTAGTGAATGAAACCCTCACTATCTCACATCAACAAATATGTTACTTTCTTCATATATCCTTGACTGAACTATTTTCTGTCTTAGGCCACACTGGCGCCTTCTTATTTTTCCTTAAACCTTGAGCTCTATTTTCCCGACTGCTTTCTCTAACCGAGGTTTCTAACTGCTCCTCACTTCTCTTTTTTAACCGACAAACTCTAACTGCTTCTTTCAAATTTGACTCCGCCCCTTTAGAATGTTAGGTTCTGTAACTGCCATTTTGGCTCAGCGGCCTTTTCAAATCCTGGCATACTCCCATCTGCATACGACCAATCGGCTTCACATATGCAAATTAATCCTGCCTTCACTGTTGCTACCCTATTTGAGCCAATTCTTCCCTATCAGCCATATTGTAACCTAGAGCTACACACCAAAAATACAACATAGATCATAAAATTCACTACAGTAACATTATGTAGTAATTACTGTATTTTACAAATTCAGCACCAAAAAATCTCAATGGAACAGCTGTAGATCCGGGTGGGAAGCAGAACGTTGGATAATACAGAACGTTGGATGAGCGAATGGTGCCGTCAACTAAGATTTATTTAGAGAAGGTTTTTCCATTTCCTTCCAATTGTCTTACTAAACTGTCAGTGGGTCTTCATGAGCATTTGAACCCAGGATTCTCAGAGTCCCAATCCAATAAATACTCAAACCATGACACCACAATTATTTTATTTTGCAACCTTTTATTGTGTAAGCCTTGCTACACCACTGTTGGTCACTTCCACTGAAAGGGCAAGCCTTCATAAAAGCTGAAACTAAACAAGTCAAATGTGTTTTGCATTGAATTTACTACCAGCCCAACTAACGAATCAAAAACCTGTTCCTAACTTATCTTTTGGCCTACTTTATCCTTCAAATGAAGTAGCAACTGATGGCAATGTTTTGACCTCAGTGCCACTCTTAAAGTCCTCAGAATCTCATCTATCTACTTTGCAAAACCTGCTGGAAGTTGTTTCTAACTCAACCATTCATCAAATTACTCTGTAGTCTCCTAGATAGCACTGTCCTTCCCCAACATGCCTTTATATTGGATTGCCTTACTACTTTTAAGATGCTTCCCCTATTAGATGTGATGCAATGGCAATTTTTCCATCAGCAACAGTAATTTCTTTCTTTCTGGAAAAACTCCCCAGGAACTGGGAGTTGATAGTTTAAGAAGATCACGCTGAAGAGCTCTACTCTAGATCTCTATGTTGTTTGCTGTCATGCTGGACACTTGCATTATCTTGTATGTCTTTGTGCCTTCAAGTTGCCTGTCAACTTATGGCAATCCCACAGGGTTTTCTTAGACAAAGAATACTCAGATGTGGCTTTGCCAGTTCCTTCCTCCAAAATTTAGCCGACAGCACCTGGTATCCCTTGGTGGCCTCCCATCCAAGTACTAACCAGGGTTGACCTTACTTAGCAGCATTTAGGGTATGATTGTTCTTTTGCCATTGCACAACTTAATGGCCTAACTTTCAAAATCTAGGAGAACTTAAGCATTTAGTCTGGCATAACAAACATCGACGACCTGCAAATGGAGCTTGTTTATACAAGACAAGCACATCTGCACCAATTTTATTGACCTGCTTTATTTATTTTAGGAACAGAACATTAAGACTTCTCGATGCAGAGTCTGGATTTCCCTGATGAAAAAAACAGGGCTACTCGGTAGGCAGCATAAACATCGTCTTGACAAGATCCCTTTCTGTCTATCTCTCCCTCATTCTTAGTCATGCCTCCAGCGCTCCCTACTGGGCAGCACGCTGATGTTTCTATAGGTATGTACACATCCCCCCCCCCAAAAAAACCCAAAAACAGTTGTCACTTTACTTGTTACAGCAAGAATAGTCCCTTCTGATCTCCTGCAAAGGGCTAAGGCTCTGGATATGGGGGAAAACCCTTATTAATGTTCTCAAATGACACTTGAAGGAGTTCCACTGATTCTCATCCACCTTCAAGACAGCTAAAACCATTTCAAAATTCAGGGCTTGCATCTGAAACAGAGTGCCATAGGGACAAACATTTACCACGTCTAAGTGCTAGAGCAGGGGTCCTCAAACTAAGGCCCGGGGCCAGGATACGGCCCTTCAAGGTCATTTACCCGGCCCTCGCTCAGGGTCAACCTAAGTCTGAAACAACTTGAAAGCACACAACAACAACAACAACAACAACAACAGCAGCAGCAGCAGCAGCAGCAGGCAGCAGCAACAACAACAATCCTATCTCATTAGCCAAAAGCTGGGCCATACTTCCCATTCAAATACTAATAAGTTTATATTTCTTAAAATTGTTCTTCATTTTAATTATTATATTATTTTAAAGTGTTTTTTCCGCTACAAATAAGATATGTACAGTGTGCATAGGAATTCATTCATTTTTTTTCAAATTATAATCTGGCCCTCCAACAGTTTGAGGGACTGTGACCTGGCCCTCTGTTTAAAAAGTTTGAGGACCCCTGGTCTAGAGCCTCATCTGAATTTCTTTCTACATTTCAACTCAAGAATGAGGCCCCTCTCACGTGACAAAATAGCGCTTTGCTTCCCCTTTACCTGCCATGGCAACATCCTATGGAATACTGGGATTTGCAGTTCAGGGAGAGATACTTTAGGCTCTACCAGAAAGTCCAGTGCACTGGTTCTCAACCTCTGATTTTCCAAATATTTTAGCCACCAGAATATCTAACCACTGGCTAGGATGAGTTTCTGGGAAATCCTTAAACACCTGGAGAACTAAAGCTGCAGAAACGCCATTTTAATGCCTCAGTAAACTACCACTCCCAGAATTCTAGGGATGCAACCATGGCAGCTAAGGGGAAATCACAGAACTAAAATTATATAGAGAGGCTTGTGGGTCACATGTGGCCCAGGATAGTTATTAACACAAAATCATAAATGTCCTTAAAAGCATTATTAGGAGATTTTTTATGATTTTTTTTGGTAACTCAGTTGTGTGATTCTTGAGTTTGAACTTTGCAGATGGGAACTAAATGCAATAATTAGAGTACGTTGCATCCACAAATATTGGAATATTATCCATAATAATTGCAAACAGTTCAGCAAGAAGACCGGCTTAATGATTTCAAAAAATCCCATTGAACGGGATGGCACATAATTAGGCTTATTACATGTGGACTTTTTTTGTTTAATGTATTGTCAAAGGCTTTCATGGCCGGAATCACTGGGTTGTTGTAGGTTTTTTTCCGGCTATATGGCCATGTTCTAGAGGCATTCCCTCCTGACGTTTCGCCTGCATCTATGGCAAGCATCCTCAGAGGTAGTGACTACTTCTGAGGATGCTTGCCATAGATGCAGGCGAAACGTCAGGAGAGAATGCCTCTAGAACATGGCCATATAGCCCAAAAAAAACCCCTACAACAACCCAGTTTTTTTGTTTATCTGTGGTGGAGGATATCATGAAAAGAATGCACAAATCTTTTTTGTTTGTTTTGTTTTGTTCAGCAGTTATTGTTATTATCAGCATATTTTATGGCTCATGGCAATTCATCTTCTTCTAATGTGGCCCAGGGAAGTCAAAAGATTGGACACCACTAGTATAGAGTGAAAAGAGCCTAAGACTATACAGATACCATGGCTACAAAATCAATGAGACCAAAATACTAATAATCCCATCTCGCTTAACACCGAAAATTCATGCAACCTGAAAGGTGTTTTGGAAAGAGCATGGTAAAAGAGAATCCTGTATTTCATAGACAGACCAGAAAGCAACAATGCTATCCATGGCTGAAGTTTATTTCTTTTTTGATTTCCAGAATCTGGGCATGCCAGCTGGGGCAGTGTGGAGGCTGTTATCTAGTCTGGGGGTGCTGTCACAGCTAGTGGGCATGTTAGCTGGAGTAGTATGGGATTTGTCACCTATTTTCCTCAACTTAATTGCAGCCATAGCTGTACTCTTCTCAGAC